AATGCCTTGCCAGCACGCATGTAGCAATAGCTGATGTACGTTACTCGCTTCGTTGTTGATACTCCCATGCCGGTTCCGTGAACTATCCGGCATTTTCTTCCATGTTTATCACTTCTGTCCTTCATTTTGCCTGTTACCACTGCTACAAGTTTCCTGTATCGCATGTGTGTCCAGCGAGTATTGTCATTTTCAGAGTTCCATTTCTTTTCTTCATTGGTTTTTGTCAAGTATTTGTCCTCTGTCACTTTAGCCATCCACGGTATTTTCAAAGCCATCCACTCAGAAAGCGCCTTTGGGTAGCCTTTAACAGTGTTTCTACTGTTATACATTTTAACATAGTAGTCACCAATAGAAGTTTCAAGTATGATTGCCAAACGTCTTTTCTTATAATCTCACGGTCAAGCAAGAAGAAATTTAGTGCCACCAATTATTAATACTACCTGCGTGTTTCGCCTTGTCGAATGATGTTATTTAATACACATGATATAACTGTGTAAGAATATTAAAACAAAAGCAGTACACGTATATCACATATTAACAATTTACAATGACATATTTCAGAAATGATCTCAGCAGCAAATAAGTTTCGGCAGTACTCGTAGAATATCTGTCATTTGAATTTATTCCATCACTTCAAAACCCCACTCTACCTGTGTTTAATTTGCCAAAACACTTTCAAATGAAAGCATGCGACCATGTAAACTGGAAAATCATTTGGAAAGTATTGATAAATGCGAAAGCGGAAAGTTTGGATTTTCTAGAAAGCTGCGGGGTAGCTTCAAAAACATCCCAACTTTAAAGAATAGTTTCTGGCGGCAAAATTGGAAAATGGACTTACGGCATCTTATAAAAATTGATTGCCAAAAATTACAGTCAACATAATGTTGGAGAGAATATTATCTTGCCTTCAGTATCAATAATACTGTCTGACCTGAGGTATATGAATCCACAAGAAGCAGTTTAAGCCATTCTGCTCTGAAACTCAACTGTATCTAAGCGAATAGATAAGATGTCTCAGAACATACAAAGTACCTGTTACCTTATCACAGTTCAGCAAATTTTCCTCACTGGTAGATTAATCTACTTTATCTGATAACGACGCTCTTCTCGCGGCATATATTCGATACTTCAATGATAATATATTAATGGGAGAGATGCTGCTTGCCAGGATATGTAAAACGTATACCAAGGGCCAATCTTTATTTGAGGTAGTCAATGGCTATCTGCCTGAAAATGTCATCATAATGGAAAACATAGTTGCAGGTGCAACAGGTGGTGCGACCGCAACGGTCGGAAGACAGAGAAGATTCATTGCCCATCTAAAATGTGTTCTCTCTTCTGTTCATACAATTCACTGTGTGATTCACTGAGAGCGCCTAGTGGCTAAGAATTTGGGAGGGCGCTTAAACGACCCACTGCCAACATTTATAATAGTAGTTAACAATATTAATCCGCCCACTTTTCAAGATCGTATTTTCCAGCAGTTGTGTGAGAACAGTGAAGAGTTCCAGGTTTTACTTTTGCGTACAGAAGTTAGATGGCACTCCAAGGGCAAGTGTATTCGCTGTTATGTTGCACTCTGGGACAGCATCATCACATTCATTCTTGAACTGATTATGAAAGATAATTGTGTACAGCTAAACCAGATGTGTTTTATCTGGCTGATGATTTCGAAAAACCACTTATTGAATAAAACTCATCACGACAAGTTGAGAAACCTCATCTCGAGCAAACATCCAATTATAGCTTTACGTAAAAAGCTGGAAGTATATGCTCAGAACATCGGACGTCGAGAATTTTCACAGTTCCCAATTGACTGTTTATGCCAGTCATAAACAAGAACTCCGAAAAGTAATGAGAGGCAGATTTCATGACCAGATTAACATGGAAATCCGGATTTAGATTTGGGATCCATTTGATGTACCGCCCTGCGATGTTGAAGCTGAAATCCTGGAAGGTTTCATAGAGGTTAAGAATGGCACACTAGCAAGATCCAAATTCACGCTGTATAAGGAGTTTTAGGATATACTGATGCCTCAGACTGTGGGAAATAGCTGAAATATATTTCCTTGCTTATCCACCCACATAAATGGATGCATGTGGATTTAGCAGACTGATTTATCCAACAAAAGGTATAAACAGATAGGACATCAAAACAAGAAGAGACATTCCACTCTCGCTGTCAAGTCTGGAGCCAGACGCAAGTAAGCTTGCTCAAGGTCATCAGGCTCAACGCTTACATTAATATCTCGACAAACAAATGGTTACAAAGTTACTACACATACTTCATGCCATCTCTTACAGTTAAAAGCCAACAATAAGTAAATACAATTTAAATATGAATGATGACTTTTGTTTAATTACAAACGTGTGGCTTGATGCTGCCGCACAACGAGTGTTTTCTTGAAGCCGTGAAAGTTAAAATATGGGGTTTATAATGGAAACAGCAGTGATACCAAGACTACAAGTTTAGCCATCATAACAAAAGATAACAATATGACCACTGGAAATCACAGATTTGCGTCTGTTAGGCGTTGCGCATTGTTGAAGTTGTGACGATCTAGGGTGGGGGGCCATAGAAAATGGAAAGGTTCAGAAGGGGCCACGGCTGAATAAAGGTTGAGAATGACTGATCTATATAACGAAGTGATGAGAGCTAGAATAATAGAAATAGGGGAGGAGGCAACTTAATTGGGGAGTTTCCGAGTTGATAACCTCGAATGAAAAAGCAATTTCATCGGCATTCCACATAGCTGTACTGTCCACTCAGTTTCAGGTGAGTACTTCTGTCGGTGTTGTAAACGAATTTTAGTAAATAATGGCGTAGATGACTGGAGTCAATCAGTAGGTACGCCAATATGAGGTCTCAGAGTAGCTATCAGTAGCGTCCACCGAGAACTCTTAATACCTTCAAGCGTTGTGGTAAGATATTGGGAAAACATTAACTTTTTCGTTGCCCTACCTTATGGGATCTCTAGCACCTCGCTGTCGCACTTCAACCAAGGTTACCCAACTTGGATAGCATACTCAAAGCGAGAGTGCACGTAAAAAGATTGATGGGTAAAAACTACTGAGTGCCCTTCGCAGCAGGCCGTTGTGCTGCTTGTTCCTTTTCCCAGTTTCATCATTCGTCTAAGCAGTTAGGGTCATTCTGTAGGAGCACACCAATTTCGTGTACCTGAGGACTGGTCTGTAAATTATGTATCCCAAGCCAGTACGCCTACGGCGTATCTGAACAACTGGACATATTTCAGCATTAAATGGGAAGGTGTTTTGAGCTGACCCATTCGAGATCGTGCTGGAACCTTTCGTAGTCAACCGGTCCCCTGATCGCTCGCCATATCTTGATATCGTCTACGGAAGACAGAAAGTCCGGCTGGGATCTACCTCAAATGGAATCGTCAGTGCGGTCGTACGACCACGTTTGAAACACTGGCATCATTCCAATGTTTAATCGCAGTGGAATCTCTTAGAACCATATTGTGAATGGAATCTTCTAAAATTCAGCTGATTTTACACTCCACTGCATTAGAAATCCCGTTACAACGCGGGGTTCTAAGTGCAAGGTCGCCTTATCTGTCATTTTGAACAGCTTCATATCGGACAGCGCGCTAGAGTAGTGCCTAGTTGTAACAGGATACGGTTGCCACTTCCTCCTATCTTTGGATCAGATTGTGGACCTGAGAAAGTCCTAAACTAACGAACCATCCTAGCGGTTGGATGCTGGAATGTAGAAACCAAAACAGTTGGTGGTTGCTGTCAAGCTATTTAAAGATGCTGGACACCTTTCAGAGTTATGGAAGAAAACAACGTTGCCGACAAATCAGTGGGTACCGGTTAACGCGCGTTTTCTGCGCCACATGTATCAAACCTGGCCCTCACAGCTACTTTAATCGTGAACTTGACGGCATACAGGTGATAAAGGCACAGACACAGTTAGTCGTACTTTCTTGATTTTCCAAAAATGTATACTTGTGCCATTAGGCAATTTACCCGGGCAACTCCCATGTTCGTTTCCGTTAACAAATCCGAAGACACTTCCTATGTTAAGGAACGAAACTCGTGTCTGTCCTACAGTGCATTTCAGTTAAACAACTACAATCAGTACACAGAAGTGCAGTGGATCCAATTGCTTTGACACGTTATGAATTAAGTAATCGAAAAAACATCAGGAAAATGAGGAAAACAAGCAGCATTTCCAACTCAAAGGTAAACGAGGATAGCACACTTGACAGGTGGAGAAATTGAGACCCAATGGCAAAATAATGAATGTAGCAGCGTTATCCACATGTTTACCAGTTTTATTCTTTCGGGTTTATATTGGATACATGAATCCAATGCGAACCACCCATGGTCTTTCAGTAAGTGCACGCGTTCTGTGGCCATTCACGGCGGCAGTGACAGTATACTGCCATTATTATCAGTTAATACAATAAATACTGCTAATACTACCCCTAATAGGAGTGCTACCGCTGGGGTCTATCGAAAGACCATGGAATAAAAGCCCGGCGATATGCGTTAAAGTCCCAGACAAAGTCCATTCGGCTCAACGGTTAGCCGCGATGATCACGTCTGGACAACAGGGTGAAATATGGATATTCCTCAGTTATGAGAGAACCGAGTGACTGGCTGACAAGCACAATTAAACATCGTGACCTATGTCGCGCGTTAGTGGGTGAGGCCAACAGGTGATTTCCACCGCACCGCATCCCACGTGCGCATAAATCACGTTCGATATGGAGAGCCTAGACCGATTTCCCATTGAATAAGGTTCATAGGAGTGTCAGATGAATTGCCACTCCGCTCAATAAACGCGTTAGTTTGCATACCACTCTAGATACAGTTATACTTCATTCGAGGCAATCAATCGAGCTCTTGCGCGATCGCTTATCGAAGTCATGCTCTGACCACCGAAGCGTCGACCATCATAAGCTGTAAAATGTGTTTTTGGGCTCAAACTACCTCATTTAGCGTCATCGCCAACAAAATATAAATCTTACCACAGTCGGAAGGTTAGATGAATCGTCCCCTTCGATTATTCGATGAGGGCTACTGCTCCGCTGGGTTTCGACTGCTGTCGTTGTTGTCGGTGGTGCTGTTGGTGATACTTCTGAGGATTGCGGCACAAACCTGGCGTTTTGTGAGCAGCGTCCCTGTAAATTTTCCGGAAGTCTAGCCAGCTCTGCCGCATGCGTGACATCATTTATCTCGTCCATTCGCTTGGTTGACTAAAAGAAGAAACAAAAATGGATTAGTTGATTAAGGGTTTGTCGCGACCAGTTCCAAATCAGATAGTCGTCCACATGCCCGGAAAAGCACTAGACTGCAGTTTCAGCCTGTCTTTCGGGACCAACTCTGTCCTCTGCAACGTCCGTAACTTGCATGGCAGTGGGGGATAAGACGCACTATATCGCAGTTAGCTTATAAATTATGACGGTCCGAAGCTGTCCCCCGTGGCCCAGTGGCATAAGCTGCTGACTGGCGGTGCAAGCCGTTGGTGGTCATGGGTTCGAATCCTGATGAATGGGAACTACCGATGATGCTCAACAGGCTGAAAGTGCAGTCTAGTGCTTCTCCGGGCATGTGGACGACTATCTGATTTGGAACTGACTGTGACAAACCGTCAATCAACTATGTCAAAATTCCAATACTCATGAGTACATTAAAAATGGATTAGCGGAAGAATGTCATGTGAACGGACATGGTATGAGGACTATAATTCGACGGCGGCTTGCAAACAAGATTGTCACATAACGGGGAACTAATGGGCGCCACCTATTCCCGTGTAAGTTTGACACAAACAGCGTACAACACTGTGGTAGTATTCGTTGTGTGAATACATCTATCAAGGAGTAGGTAGTTCCTTGCCGTTACGGTTAAGCAACGGAACGTCACCGAAGGCAACCAGAGACGTTGAAATGTCGAAAATGTGCGTTTGGAGTTGGTTACTTCACACATGTCGCCATCTAAATGCGTTGACGGTTAAAGTCCCATTTATAATGGATGCGAAGAGGGATACACTTCTAGTCAGCGGTTTCGTTGACGACGAAAATATGGAGCACGTGCTGTTGTCTAAAGCAAACTAACTCAGTGGTGTAGAACTCAGAACCACCCGAGGACCGCATGGCCGCATTTTCGTTGCCGTAAACATGTGCTTAACTCGTTCACTTATTAAATATAAACGAATGTAATTTGCAAAATCTTTTCATTACTTCAACTTCGTGATATTTAATGCGTATGCGTTCGTATGCGACCGGAACTAACGCACTAATGTACAAACATTACAACAGTTCAAATATGAGCCTCGACACGCCATTTTAATCAGAACTTTTGCTATATCATGCTAAAGTGACTGTGCAGTCCCAAATTTGATCAGATGACAAGTGTTGATCAGTCAGACATGTTCGCCTGGTTTTTGTTGCTTTCACGACGGAAAATAACTACTCACAAAACAGAACATTGACATAATCCATGGCAAACGCAGTTTTCCACATGGTCCGAAGAAAACGTCGCCCGCCTATTCACCTCGCTCATCAAATCAAACCTTGTGTACGGCGCCTCAGCTATCCGATAATCCAGTGGGAAACAGAAAAACTAGAGCAAATACTGCACATCGCAACTAGAATGATACCCCGTCTACAAGAGCTTTTGTATGAAAGCATTGTGAAGGGCTCGGTTTCTACATACTGTCCCATAGCTGAGTAGGAATTGACCTTATTATGACCCATGGAATACTACACCTGAATCACTTTCCCATACTGCGGGCAATATTTCACATGCGGGAACCCTGTAACACTCGACGACACCGTTACAAACTCGGTGTCATGCATGAACAGTGTGTCACATCAACTTTGTATAGAACGAAGAATCATAAACTTATGGAATACACTAACAGAAAGATTAATAGAGGCCGATTCTGTGAAGTGTTTTAAAACACGTATCGACGATTATTTCGGAAACCTGTGCCTGTGTAAAACGGTGCACATATCATGCCAAAAAGTAAAGCCTATACCCGGAAATAATGACACCAATACGAATTCCTAACCGAACAAGGATAAACGATTAATTGACCAAACACTACCGCTGACGATTCACAATTAAATGCTTTTAATTTTTCATAATTCGATAGAGTTGTAGAGAAAGTTTTCTACTTGCCCTTAAATACAACCTAAGTACTCAAGCTGCTCAGGAAAGTGTAAAAAGATGCAAAATAAGAAAGTTTTCTCTGAGTGTAGAAATAGACTGCATTTCTGATAGTTCCATCTTGAGGGGTTTTTATGCAATGGCAAAATCAAAGTTGCATGGTACGGAGAATAATGTAAATTGGTGTTCGGAGGGTCAGAAATCACCAAATCTTTTCCTAGAATTATTTCGACAACAATTCCAGGCGGCTGTCATAATTAGCAAGGCTAAGCGCAACACAGGATTGACATTGGCGTACAGCTCTTTGAATTTGAGAAAAGGAACCAAATCTCCAGTTAACAATCGTCGCCTTCATAAGCTTGGTTTTGTACTGAATCACTTGTGGTCATCATAAAATCAAGTGATGGGTTTGTTTTAGTTTGCAATTTCAAGGTAATATCATTTAAATGTGCGGCAACGTACACAGCAAAAGCCAGCTCCTGGATGACCTTTCACCACAAAACATGTTTAGCTTATCACAAAATAAAACTTCCAGAAATTGTGATAACTAGCGGAATTCTGTATGAAATGGAACAACGGTACATTGATTGTCCATATCTTCCAACATTTGGTTGAATTGTCAGTGGTTTTGAGCACGCCCTCTGAGATACCGCACATCTTTGTAACCAAACTGAACACATGATCCGGATTTGAAACCTTTGCACACGTATTCAACCGATGAAGGCTGCGGTGAAAATGTGCATATGATGACTCTTGGTAGGATTTTTCAATTTTTGCATGTAGCATGGCAGCAAGACCATTATCCCTACCAACCTTATTTGTAGAACTGACGTTAGATAAGCATGCAAACCTGATCAAATCTAAATCATAATGAAACAATTGTTTGATACGGGTAAAAAAGCTAATGTTTAACAGGTCCCGTAGGATGGTTATGTTGAAACAACAACATATAAATTGTTAACAAAACAGGGTTTACACAGTGCACTCACTGAAGTATAAGTATTATAGATTGTAAACCCATGAGAAATGACGTTAAATTGTATGCTGGTAAAAATCGTGTCTCCTACTGCTGAAAGATACAGGAGGTGAAAAACGTGGAGCGAAATCTGTGGTTTGACCACCAGTGAAATCGCTTACAGACACTCGTGTTTATCTATGGGAAAGGGGTCAAGTAAGATGTGACAACGAAATAAGTGCACAGTCAACTCGGGCTTTGAAATCTGCCAGCGTGGGAGCACATATGACAGATTCCAGTAGGCATTCCACGTTCTGCAAACTCGTACGGAAAAGCAATTCCGACGGTATTCTAAACGACTGTGCTATTGTGCCAGCTTGAGATGGTGGTCTCTCAACTTGCTGTAGTGACTGAGCTCTAGCAAATGGCGGTACGCGTGCTGGGATCTTACAAAATCTGGTAAACCAAAATGAGGTCCCCGCGCAATCGCCGATATTGTCCACTGAAGAGCCCGAGCACTTGAAGCCTTCGTTTATACGGCAAATTATACAGACCATTGACGTTTTTGGTTGCCCAGCGTTGGATTATCTCTAAGGCCATGGTTGCCAGACCTATATATTACACAGAGCCGTATGTATGAGCTCAGAAGTTGTAGAGAAAGCAAAGGGTCGAATCGTCCGAACGCACACTTCAGCAGGTCCACGTGTTGGATGACTTTGCTTGACGCCGTTTCAGTCTGAGTCGAACATCCAAGGTCAACCTGGACAAAAACCCAGATCCTTCTCGCCAGAAGACGTTTGAAGCTCCTGGTTGCCGAGTTTGTAAGAGTGCACCAACTTGTGCCGTAGGAGCAGCACCATACATTTGTCCACATTGAAACGAAGTAAATTCTGGACTGACCATCCGTAGACCCTATCCAGATAAGCTTGAAGTACTGTGATATCACCTGGTGTATTGATCGCCCTCCACACCTTGATGTCATTGGCATAAAGAAGGTAGTTCGAGCTTATGGGGCGTGTGATATCGTCAATATACGTCAAAAATAATCGCAGTCCTAATACCGATCCATTTGATACACTGCATTCAACTCGGATGGGATCTGACAGCGATTCACGCACACGTACTTCCAGACGCCGGTGTAGAAGAAAGCTTCTAATCCACCCTAGGAGAGGATCACCAATACCAAAGGTCTGGAGTTTGAGGATTAGAGTGTTATGATCTAACCAGTCGAACGCCTTCGAGAAGTCGAGAATAAATACATCAACCCATGTGCCAGAGTCTATTACTACAGTCCAGCTGGATCGTGCTAGCAGTAGAGCTGTAGTGCACGATCGATTTCATCGGAAGCTGTTCCCGGACGAGATACTAGGTGGTTAGCGCCTCAGAAATAATAGCTTCCATGACAGCTGCTCCAGTGAAGGATATGTAAGTTTTGATGGTGAAACAACCATTGTCATACGGTTATTTGGCCAGTGATCGCACTGAAATGTTGGAGTATTTTGTAGGCGCAGGGTATACGCTGCCTCCGGGGTCCGTCCGCTGTTTGAACAGGAGGAATTCCCCGTTTCACCTTACGTAGATTGGTGATACAGAAGCTTTTTGGTTTGAAGCAATACGCACTACCAACTTCAGCTAGTACGCTATTCTATCCTCGCGAACAAGCTGAGTACAGTGGTTACATTGGGTCGTATAGGACATCCAGTTCTCGGTACTCGGGAAAGGTTTGTAGATATGCCAGGATGAGTTCTGCACCGATATACAACTGCGTGCTCTGCTTCGTAAAAACGAGACCACGTTTCTCGGGCGGAAGGTCTTAGTCGCTGACGCCTCGGTAACCAGAGTTAAACTGGTTGACGAAACGTTCCCATGCACTAGCTGGTGCATCATCTGCCAGAAAGGCCCCGTTCACTGTCTCACCTAATCAAGCTAATACGTCGTAGCGTATAATCGTTTTTGTTGCATCGGCGATTTCCGCGGGTTATTCTGCATAGTAAATGTATTCAAAGAGTAGGACTACATGATCGATTATTAGTTCTTCGTTGGTGAATATCCAATCCATTATTGACGGCTTATCTTTTTCTCGGAATCGGGTGGCAGTGTTGATGTGGCCATACAGTGTGTAACTGGAGG